CAGCCTACACAGTGTATTTGTACGTTCTGCATGGTTCTCACAATATCCTAATCAGCATTAACCGGTTGGTCTTTGTAGCGGAGACGTGTTTCCTGTGAGGTACAAACTGAAATCTTATATAATATTCAGAAGAAATTCAGCCTTTAAAGGATTAGGTCAATTGAAAAACTCCAATGGCCTTACCGGGACTTGAACCCGCGACCTTCCGACCTATAGAAAAATACATGTAAATCACTAACATGACTCCATTAAGTTTCCAAACAGTTTTGGTTATGAAATTATTATCGACAATCGGAAAGCACTCAAAATGCTTGTGCTCTCCGCTCTTTGATCAGAACAAGAATTCCGTGAGTCATTAATTATTCACAATAAAATCTGTAATTAGTGGCATTTTATCAGTAAAATCAGGAAATTCCACTGATTTGGAACAACGATCCAAAGAGAAACTTATTGTAATAGTAATTGTGAGCTCCCTCGGAACATAGCAAGAATGCTTTTAGGACTGACCCAAACGAATAGCTGAACTACTACTACTGACCAGAATTCGCTGTGCTTGAAACGACTTTCACGGTAGTGATTGTATTGCCTATATAGACCAAATTCTGACGTCAAGAGCTCTCAACTGTCGAAAACTAGACATTAGCACTGGGTGGGGGAACTTCAACACGCTAGCCTGTCTAGCAAGAAAGATATGTATCTTGTTGAATTGTGTCAGAACATGTCATGACAGACATTCTGTCTTTCCATCCACCTTGTGTGTCTAATACCGACATCTCGAAATGACACCACGTACTTGTAACAACAACTTTGAACTGAGAACTACGATAATGACTTGCAAACGAATCAGACACACTAAGATCACCGTATAATTAATTCACATTCTACGATCCAAGATTTTATGTGGGCACCCAAGTGGTCTAGTGCCACAACTTATCTAACTCCACGAAGATCAGCCCTTCTTGAGAAGCCGCCAATTTTGCAGCAGCTACTCAAGAATCTCTCAACATTTTATGGAACCCGATGGTTCAACAAGTGCGTACAAAAGGGCCTCCACTGGTCCCTATCATCAACCCAGTCAATGTAGTCCATACCACATCATCATACCTCTGAGATCCATTTTAATATTATTCTCCCACTTATGTCCAGGTTTTCCTAGTGGCCTCATTCCTTCTGGCTTTCCCACCAATGTCCTATATGCATTCCTCTTCTCCCTTATGCGTGCCACATGCCCTGCCCATCTCATCCTCCTTGACTTGATCTTTCTAATTATACTTGGCAAAGACTACAAGTTATGAAGCTCCTCTTTAAGCAGTTTCCTCCGATCTCCTACCACTTTATCCCGCTTCAGTCAGCACTCCGTTCTCGAACACCCTCAGTTTATGTTCCTTCCTTAACGTCGGAGACCAAGTTTCACACCCATTCAAAACCAAAGACAACACTGTAGTTTTATATATTATAATTTTCACGCTTTTAGACAGCAGATGACAACACAAAAGGTTCTGGGCTGAATGGTGGCAAGCACTACTCAAATTCAACCTCCTCCAGAATCAAATTTCGATTTCTTACAGTCATTCTCAAATATTTTAACTCCACCACATTTTCAAAGGATCTAGCTATCTTTATCTTATGAGTCTGCCCTTGATTCCCTTTTTCTCTGCACTTACTTCTAGACCAACCTCCTTACTAGCATCAACTAGAGTTTCTCTGTTTTTCTTTATGGTATCTATGTTATCTCCCACCAGATTCGCATCATCAGCACAGACCAATAGCTGATGTGTTCCATTTAATTTCAGTCCCACCTGCTTTTCCTGAACCTTCTTAATCGAATATTTTAAAACAAGGTTAAGAAACAATAGTGATAAACCATCTCCTTGTTTTAGACCACTGTGGATATCATACAAATGTTTACTATATGTTTCATTTGAACACATTTTAATCAGCGTAACTAGATTCATGGGTATCCCAAACTCTATCAGAATAGTGTACAATACTTCCCTCCTAACTGAATCATATGTTTTCTTGGAGTCTATGAACAGCTGATGTACTGTCTCATCGTACTCCCATTTTTTCTCCAATATCTGACGAATCCAAAAAACTGATCAATAGTTCATCTGTTGCATCGAAACCCACACTGATGAGTCCCAATAATTTCATCTACATATGGACTTAACTTCGAGAGAACTACGAGTATACTGGATAAAATTACGAATGAAGTTGATAACAGTGATATCCCACGATAATTACAGTCAATTTTATCGCCCTTCTTGTGAACTGGTATAATAATAGACTCCTTCCGCTGATCAGGCAGTAATTCCTTATTCCAAATAGAATTAATGAGTTTATGGATCTCAGACCGCAATGTTTCACCTCCTGCTTCAATCAGTTCTGCCGGAA